CAGTTCTCGTGAAATAAAATTTGTGTACGTAAATGATAAAGCAGTATATTCAATTGTAATTCATTTAAAAAAATAATTTTTTTTATATATTTAAATTTTATATTTTTCATTGAATATGTAGAACACCTATAAATCAAAATATGCATGTTTAAGATCTGTTTTTTTATCTGGAAAATAAAATGTTTTGTTGTATATTAAAATAAGAATTGTATGAAGATAAATATTTGCTTCTGAATATAAACATTAAATTGTTTTAAATAGAAAATACTCTTACTAAAAGCATAATCAACTAACTATGAATTTCCTATGAATTATTAAAGTGAAAAACGCTTTGAGCACAAAATGTATACAAGTTTTTATTTTAAATTTAAAACTAAGTGTTGAAGTTTTATTATTTTAAATATTGCCTTACTACAAATATAATAAATGATTAACATTTTACAGTGTAGTTAGTATAGAAAGAATGCAGAATAAAAATAGTCCATCTAAATTTGTTTATAAAACATATACTTACCAACAAGCGACTATAATTATTCAGGAACTACAATACTTACTCAATACCACTATAAATTATTATATCATATAACATTTGTATTCATACAAAACATCAAACATATAAACATTAAACAATAATTACAGGGAAAATTTGAAACAAAATATCATTAACATTTCGTACGATCTTTCATTCGAAAAATTGAGATTAGGTTTAACGTTTTATTCTATTATTTTCATAAACGTTGCTTTCCGATAAAAATGATTTCATTAGTATTAGAAAGAAATTAATTACGTCAAGAAAGTTGGTATTTCAAATTGATGTGTTCAACGATTTAATCGTTATTAAAAGTAAACTGAATAGAGAAAGATGTCTTTGAATCCCCTTCACTTTATTGTACTTAAAAGATACAATTATAATTCGAATGTGGATAACACGAACACTGATTATTCCAAAAGTCGATAAAGTATCTGTAAGTCTATATCCAACAATGTTTACAATTTGGAACATATTTTTTTTCTACTTTAACATATGGTAAACCGAGAACGAGATTTGTCTTTATCATGATATACGTTGGCAACCGAAGACAACTCTTCTTGTGTCATATCTGTAATTTTTGGAACGTACCTTTACACAAAGGCAATTGTTTTATCAAATATCATATACAACAAATTGTAGAGTTACTTATGTCTAAAAAAACAAGTTCATTCAAATATATATTAATTTCAAAAAATTATCGCAGTTTTATCATACGCTTTGATATAATATTTAATATTATAACTAATATTTGGTTGGACCTCCTTTGCATTTTTTAATACTTTTGAGACGATGTAAACCATCTGGCTTGTGCGACCAATTTTGTTCCTATTTATATAAAATTACATTTTTATTCTACTGATATGTTGTTTTCCAATGAAGTTTATATAAGTTTGAAAGCTTCGTAATTCCAATATGTATTTCTGTTGATAAGAACTTTGAAACTTGAATTGTAAACAAATATCAATCCTTCAAAGTTGGTAGTTTATAGGGTACGAATACTCTTGTGACTTACTGTACGTGTATAGACATTCGTTTTAAAAGGAATTTGTAACCTGGTAATGTCTAAGGAAATTGAATTTATTTTCTGTACTGCAATTTTTGCCTTAACTGTGTATGTTTCACATAATAACTATTTATATTTGAAAGCTATTTAATTTCTAATTAATTTATAACATCTTTACAAATTTCATTCTTTCAAACCGATTATCCGAAAAATCTCTTTTTACTTAATTCAGATAATTGAAATTCTACTGTATTACCATTATGACCTTGGCAGACGATTACATATAATGCATGCAGTGCTCAAAATTTCTATAAAGTCACCACGTTTTTGCTAAAATCTTATAATTATTTTATACTAGGGATACATTTGTGTGTGATAGCGTTTTAAAGAAATATAGAGCAATTAAAGAAATATATAGATTGTTTGCAAAAATGAACATAACATTTTTATTTCAGGAAAAATACAAAAATATGATCTAACATAAAATTAATCGTGAAATTTCTATAAAGTCAGCAATATTTTACACACATTAAATAAAAATTAACAATAGTTTTTAGTTTCTTTCTATATTAATACTTTGTGTTACCACCAATTTTATGAATGACACTAAAAATACGGTTTAGCATTGGCAATATTAAATTTCATAGTGTATATGTTTCGATACTTTTCCACGTTTCGTTCACTGCGTTCCATAATTTAGAAAGAGACTTGCATTGTCTCCTATTGCTGTGAACTTTTCTGGTAATGATTTCCCAAAGATTTTCTATGGTCTTCATTATCATGTTGATATACGAAATTATTATCTTCTATATTTTTCAGAGATGATGCTAAACCCATATGCAGTAGCTCAGTATAATTTTCGGTATTAATTTTGTGATTAATGTGACAAATTGGAGCCTTTTTGTCGGCTTTAAACGCAGCCCAAATCATTAGAGAGCCGCCATGAAAATTGTGACTCATTTGTACGATTTTTTCTTTCATTAACCCCTTGTCCTAGAATATCGTGTCAGACTCGTAGCGAAGATTTCAAATAGAATTTAAAAAATATAAATATTATTCAATTTATTTGATTGCAAATTACATATTATTCCTGAGTTATTAATGATTATACACCTTGGAGCACACGTTGGTATAGAATAAGACTGGAATTTTCTTTTATTTTTAATAAATTATTGCTAACAGACCAGTTAGAATGATGACAGTTCAGAAAGATATTATAAGGCAAGGGGCACTATCTGAAATTGTAACGAATTTTCATTTCTTGGTCCGGGAAATATGTTTCCGTGCGAAATTGAAACGAGCCTGTTTATGTTCTTCTTTCAGAACCAGCTTACGTAATATTTTTGTTCAGAGATATTGTCCAGAAGGTTTCAAAATTTGTTGTACACATCTCGTTGTAATTCGCAGCTGTAATTTAGTTTGAAGTTGAGCTGCATTTTTGGTTTCTATGCTCGCCGAGGTCATTAACCAATTAACTGTATTTGACGAGTATACATGTCATCATAAATCACAAAATGGTACTAATGTTTTCAACGATCAATTTTTTATTGTTTGCCGATAAACGTGTAATTCTTCTTCGTTGAGCTGTAGTTTTTCGTTAAAATATATTATAGATGCATTTATCTTGCATTTGACAAGTATACACTTTATTTTTTAATTTTATTGCGCACACAATCGGAGATTTTTCAAACTAAATTCAAACAGTTAACTGGTTAACAATGAACGATGCCTTTTCGACCGGTTTTAATTCTCGCTTGTAGAATGATTTAACCGTAACGTACACCCAAATTGACATAACTGTTTATTATTGTGTACGAATGATTAATTTTGTTTGCAATCGTGCGATTAGAACACCCCATATTTTTATAAGCATCGATCGATGCCATTTTTTCTCTTGTTAACAATTTTCCTCGTGGCAGTCTAATATAAATCAATCAAATAATAACAAACGCATAGTTTTAATGAGTTTCAGTACGATTACACTTAGAATATTCGCAGTTTGTTGTAATTATCCACTCCAAATGTAAACAAGAACTAAATGATTATTTTGCACTAAAAAGTCTCTTTCTCATATATAAGAAACCATAACGAACGCAAAATGTAAATACTTCTCAGTAAATACAATGTTCCATCTCTTTCAGTGCCGATTAAATATAAACGAAAATGGAAAAACATAGAAAATTTTATAATACCTCTATGGTTTGCCTCTAAATATGGCAAAATATATACGTCTGTATAGAAATTTCGGGTACTGTAGTTATGTGTAATAGCAGGTGGTGCATTAATGGCATTAAAACACTGTTATTAACAGTTGACATCAGAATTTTATCTTACTATACAAGGTGTCCTATTTAAATCGAAACTAGTGATGAGTTCAACGATTTTGAGGAGTACATTATTCGATACAAGTTAGTTTCTGTTACGTAAACACGTGAAGGAATTGAATAAATAAATGAATTGATCGTCATAATTCTTTTACGTGTTTTTGACGACGGTATTTGACGAGCAGATACCCTTTAGTTAAAAAAAGAAACAGATATAGATGAAGCGTAATGCAAGATTTTTACAATATAATTCAATATATTATAAAACAATAAGCAAAAAAGAAATTAAATTTTTAATTTTAAATTTCTCTCAGCAATTACTTTTTTAACAGAACTTTTATAGCTACTTAAATTTCTATTTAATAAGTGATTTAAAAAATCACTCGTCTACAAGATATTTTTAATTCAATATTGAATTTAAAAATAAAATTTTTATTTTATAATCGGCATCCTAAAACAAAGAATTCACCACGCAAGTAAACAAATTTTTATTTGTACTAAAAGTACAGGCAAAAGTGCTCTTCCACAAAGAGTTGGCAGGGCATTTAGAGATCGAATACAATTCTGCATTTAAGCTGAAGGATGTATTTACTTCTGCATATATGTATTAATGGATGTGTAGTACAACCTTGATTATACGAACACCTGTTACTTGAACATTCTATTACATCTACATTCTGTTATTTCAACGTTATATTATGTTAACCGCACATTTTTTTATATAATACATATTATTGTGATAAAAGTGTTCAATTACTTTTATAAGATGAAATGTGTTCACAATAATTTTTAAGATTATTAAGAGTGTAGCGTAACAGATTGATACCGCTTAAAAAAAAATTACAATGGTCGGTCTTAGCTTTTCTACAAAAACTTTTTGCAAAATGTCTTAAATAATAATCAAGAACTGAATAGTGAAGACGAATCCAACGTCAAGAATAATGAAAACATACAATCCGCCTCACAAGAAAGAAATAACTGTATCTTCGCAAAAATAAATACATATATAAAAAGTTTAATGTGGATAGAAAATTCTGTAAAATACTAATATCTTTCTAGTGTGTATCTGTACTGTGTATCTATTGTAACGTTTTGATGTGTTTTCTACAAATTCGGCGTACGATACAAATAATAATGTCCTTCGTATTTTTCGAATGCGATTAAAGTTCAAGTTAAAGTTCTTATATTTAGCACATGTTTTTCCTTCAATCTGTTTTCTGTGAGAAGTTAAACATTTTCTGTTAGATGTGCATTGAGAGACCGTAACGACCAGCCAAACAATGATATTCTTGCTTTCATTGTTATTCCTTACACTGATCAATATGAAACTCGGATATTTCAAGCTAACGCGTATTCGAGTGAACTTTATGTATTTACCTTATCTCAAACTTTTCGTTGTTAGATATCAAGTTTTGTAGATACAACCAGTAAGCTCTTACGAGACAGACGGTACTATCTCATTTCGAAACTTTTGAAACAGAGCTTACAAGGAAAGGTATCGAATCCGGAAATTAGAAACATTATGAAACTTTGTGTGTAAGTAGAGTAAGTCAAGCTTAAGACATTACAATTTGTTTTGTACCGAATTTCACCTTGAAGGGGTGGAACTATCCCTTGAAAGGAATACAAATTTTTCTTCCTCGCGGATTATCTTAAGAACGGTAAGAGATTACGAGAAAAAAATTAAACAAAAAATACATTGCTTTTTTACGTGTATAAAGTTGCAAAATAAAATTTGTAAAAAAGTTCAAATTTTGATAAATTTTGATTTTGGAAGTGATTAATTTGGAAATTTTATTTTACAATTTTATAGACGTGGAAGAACAATGTATTTTTTGTTTAATTTTTTTTCGCAAGCTCTAATCGTTTTCAAAATTATCCACGGGAAAGAAAAATTTGCATTTTTTTAGAGGTAGTGTGACTCCCTTAAAGCGAAATACGGCACGAAAAAAATTGCAATATATTAAGCTTGACTTATTCTACTTATATACAAAGTTACATAGTTTCTTTAATTTCCGGGTTCGATACTTTTCCTCGTTAGATGATTTGAGACCCAAAACGAATGTAATTCTACAGAATTAAATGTATTGAGAAAATAATGTGATTTACCAGCCAAAAAAGATTGAAAGACTGAATACTAATATCTTTTTCTAACTAAATAAAAATTGTGTTATTTATGTTTAAAGATACTCACAAACAAATGGTATCATTTTCATTTCAATTTATCTTAAGAACTTCTTTTATCTAAACACTTTTCTCCGTCAATTAGTTCATATAACGCAGGTTTCACAGTTCTTACTGATAACACTTCTTTATGTTATAATAATATAATAATCAGTCCTTACAAAAAATTCAATCACATTAGATGATGCCACCCTTTGAAAGTAATTTAACTTTGTCTTATCTATTGGCAACGTCAGTAAGTTCCAAGATATTTCGGAGGATCGATTTAGAAAGGACACACTGTATAATTAATTCTGCCACCCATATGTTGAGTTGATTAACCTTGTATACATTCCTGATTGCCAAACTACAACACTAATACTATGAAAACATTATTGAATTTATGTAATCATTTATATCAGAACGACATGTAATATTTAGTATTCCCCACAATACTTAATATATCAGAAAAAATCTCCCACAATTATTTTAAAAATTATTTACATCTATATTACTTGCCGTATTGTCAATAACGTTGACCTTAATAGGCTGCAACAGCGTTTCTGGTAGTAGACTCCGCTACAATCCACTTGGCACACAAACATACGACGAAGTAAACAAAATTGAACGAAAGATCCAGGAATATTACAGAGACAAAAATTCACAATCTCTGACCACCGTATATAATAATATTTCCCATCGATGACCGTTCACGTAGATTCACAGGTGGCCCACGACTTGTTATAATCCGATCTCTGGTTTCCTAATTCGTGTTTAAAGTTACTTTAAAGTATATTTACGCGAACGATGGTTATACTGGGGAAACATTGATCCACCGATCACGTGTATTACTATGCGACCAGTAGTTTCCTTGCTCTTCAACGTCACGATTGATCACAGATTGAATACCTTCGCAGGACGATCCCGGCCAGTATGATCGTAACGACATTATCGAGGGTAAACGCTGCTAGCAAATGCCCACGGCATTTGCCTCGGGAGCGGCACTGGTGGCACGCTTTCTGCGTTCCCCTTTCAGCTCGCCTACCGCCCTAACGTCCTCCGGAGCAGAGGCTGGTCCAGGCGCGACTGCGTCATGCTGTCATACTGTAGCGGCGCCGACGCTCTCTCGTTTTCGTATTCGATCTTCGCTCATTACTGATTGTGAGACGTCTCCACTCGATCGAGGTTTATCCTATAAATGACGAACGTCATGGTGGTCTAGACGTGCGAAAAAGTGATTGAAAATCAATTTCTCGAGCTGAACATTTTGAAAAACTTTTTGTTGCTAGAAACTGACAATACTTTAACCCTTTGAGAGCCAGGGGAAATTTTCATATGTATTCGAGAAATGTCAGGCCATTTTAAAGAAAGATGCACGATTATGAACGAAAATTTATATTTCGGTCAATTTTGATCTGAAGTTCATAACATTTTTACACAATACTAAAAACATGTTAGACTTCCTTTATTACTAATTAAATAAAAAGGAAACTTCTTACAGTGCCTGAAGGAACGATATATCGTTTCTTGGCACTCAAAGGGTTAAAGCTTCAAAATGCAAAATATCCTTCACTTTCAATAACTGTGTTATTGAGAATAATATTCTAAAAAATAAAATCGAGAAATTCTAAGTGAACCTATTTTATAAATAGTCGTTAAAGAATATTAAAATTTAAGTTTAAATCCGAGTTTTAGGTTTGTTGGTACGTAAATGCACATTATATAGTTGGGTCACAACTATTTGTTAATCCATATATAAATATAACAAATTTTAATCAATTAAAATTTTGAGAAGAGTTCTTAGAAAGCGATAGGTTCCGCACTTGTTTCATACCAAAGTTGAAACTCTTGTTAAAAATAACATACAAATTTTAAATGCAACTGCATTTTTTTATTTTGTTCCTATTTCACGAATTAAACAGTCAATATATTTTGCTGCTTGGAGCACGTGTACTGGTTGTGAGTCCGATGCGCAAAGCTTACCTGTTATTAACACCAGAAATACGGAGCATTTAATATGATTCATATGTAATCCCTATAAAACTTGTAACAATAAATTATTTTCAGTTTCTTCCGATGTTCCTTATAGTATTCAAATGAAACTATTTATTTGTAAAATCGTTTCGAGTATTCAAGGCTTTTAAGGTATCAATAATTGCAAAACAAGGAAATTTTAGTGTTAATACTATATTAACTCTTATCAACACTAGGTATTGATTCTCCCATAATATATTTGTAAAAAATTACTGCGAGCAATGGAAGGCATCACTAAGGATGCTCAAGTAAAGTTATCCCTTACTATCTTGGTAAATATAACTTACGTAATTGAACTTCAAATTGATATTCAGATAATATAAAACTTGCTTTGGAAAGATTTTAGTATGTTTAATTGATATTAAATACAAGTGCACACGATTAATAAATTATGGAATATATTTTCATTATGGTGTTATAATATATAGTGTGGTTGTACAATGACAAATGCAATGATAGCTTGTAACATAATGTTACAGTAAAAGGAATTTGACAAATATCATTTTCTTTGAAATAAATACATTGAAAAGAATTAGAACACTCATACTTAGAATAATAACAGTATTGTTATTCCTAATATTGCTACATATTTTACGAAAGGTAACGGTAAAAGAAAACTGTATAGTTATAAGTAAAAGATAATATTTGAACTTTATTTGACATATAAGCTGTTCAATGTTTAATTCTATCTGTACCATTGTATCATATCATTATATTTTAATATCATTATATTTTATCATTATTTGAAACTTTAAAGACATAGTATCTTACAATCAAGTCGTCGGATTCGTCTTCACATCAGCTACAATATTATGAATTCAAAAATATATATTAACTTTTAAAAATCAAGATGACCTTTATCTTTTAATAAAGAAAATTCTTTTTTGAATATTTTACATTGAAATTTATGAACGATTGAATGTTGATTAACTTTTATATATAAAATTTTTTTGTCAGATTATTGGAAATGCCTGGAAAGTTGTATATGTTTACAACAAAAAATGTTTAATCTATTTTTTAATTGGCATAGTTGTATCGACCTGAAATTTGGTTGTTCAAGTTTTAAATAAACAGAATACTTCAGAACTGTTGAAGTAATGCATTGTATTATCTTGCAGTTGTGATTACATTACAATAAAACAAGAAAAATCTCAGTCGCAGTTCCCACGACAGATGCACTTTAAATAATAATAACTTTCGAAGTAGAATAAAGTAGAAAATAATTCTTTCATGATTTTATAGAGAAAAGTATGTTGAAAATATTGCACTTTGACAAAGTGCGGAATTATTGGAAACTTAAAAGATATTCGTAAGATATTAACATAATTTTTTTAAATGAATTAAACACATTAAGTCTCGGTACGCAAGATATATTCTCAGTATAGACAAATGCTATTCATTTGAAACAGAAATGAATTCATAATATTAAATAGATTCATCGGGGTATCAATAAGAAAAACAGTAATGGTTTCGATGAAAATTGGTATTCGTAAAATGTTGGTTCTTAAATATTTGCTCTAATAACAATTTTTTTAAATGTGATAAATGCTTAGGAAGCAATATGCATTTGAAACATATCACTATGAGTAAATTGATTTTATATGAAATGAACAGCTAATTCTTTAATTTGAATCACTGATCATCATTCTGATATAAATATTTTCCGTCTTATAATCATGTTAGTTTAGTAAATGAGTAAATTAACTTTATGTACATGTTACTACATCATCAATGATAATCTCTGCCAGCTTGAAATTTCGATCTAAAATCAGTAATTCATAATGGCATACTGAAAGTAAGAAAAAATGGAGATGATATCCATTTATGATAAAAGTGACCAGTATTTGAGAGAAGCATATTGTTTGCAGTGTAGTGGTTTGGGCTCTTTTCGCGCGCAGAATACGACGAACAGTGGATGATCAGCAATGCTTCTAGAAGGCGTGCATTTCCCATGCCGCGGGAGAAAATATTTAATATTGTATTTACATTTATTCTGTTACTTTTACGTTTAATTAAATACCTACTACAGCAGAAAGATACATTTCCTAATTGTAAGGATCCAACACAAAACAGACATACTTGTTTCACTCGTTTTATTGTTGGGCTTACATATAGATTTTCGTTGACTTTAGCTGTTATAACTTCTTTCCCTCTTTCGGTATTAATAACTTTAGTCCTCGTACGTTTTTTCACAACATTCCCAGTTTGACGAATAGTTTTAACTACCTTCGTGTATGTATTTCGTGATGGGCAATTGAGCCATCCAGAAGCTAAATCGATTAACTCCACATTTTTATATTTATAATATGTTTCCCTAATAATAAAGATCAAGAGCATATAATAACAAAATTTTATTGGTCATCGAAGAAAATATTATTTATTTCAGAAACCAACTAATTAACTCTATACTCTAACGCAAATCCAGATTGAAATGCAATGCAATCCATGCTACAGTGTGCGCTGGACAGTGCCTTGTATATAACGGTAAATTATTTAATGTTATCTCGTCACAAAAAGTAAGTAAAAGAAATTAGTCAGTTACAATCTAACTGCTGTAGAAGTAAGTACATATAATTGCAGATTATTGAACAATCATTTTAATTTTAGTGGAAATTATTTTTAGAAAAAAGAAAAGTTATACCGTTATATCAAGTTGAATGAGATTAAAAATAATTATTTGGGCGTGGAAAATGCTGAATTACTGTCATTAATATTAGAAAATCAGTAGCAGGTAGACCACTAGATTTAAAAAAATTAGACCAGCCTTTGTTATATTCTACAGATATAATAGAACTGTGACAAGAGAAAAGAGGAAAGATATGATTGACCTGTTGAAATTCATTCCTTCTGTTAAACCTGATTATTATAAAAATTTAAGAACAAATCGACAGTATGGGGTCTCATATCAAATACAGTTGACGAAGAAGACATTATGTTGCTGAATAATCAATTTAAACAAACTAACATTATCCATCCTTACAATACGATGTAGGATAATGAAATTTCTCTGTAAAAAAAAGTAATTTGAAGACTAAGATATACTATCTTATACATTTTATATGTCATTAAATAAAAGCTATGTCTGCAATAATACATTCTACAATGTTTATTTGAATTTATATTTTAAAAGGAATTTTTATTGGATATATATATTTTTCACTTTCTGGTTTATGAAGTTAATCGATTTGGCTTGTGAATGGCTCAATTACGATTAGGAAGTGTACATTTTTATGTACAATATAGAACTACTTCTGTTAAACACTGGTCACTTTTACTATAAACGAATATCGTATTGATCGATCCTTGTGTAGAAGGCAGGGGAGGAGCGGGGTGACGGTCAGAGTCAGAGATTGTGGAGGTTCGGAAAATAACTGTTTGAAACTGTTATATATTGGTTCCGAGTGAAACAGTCATAGAGAACAGACATAACATCAGAACTGTTATCAGTCATATAGGTTCTGAGCCATTCCAGTTTTTCAGAACCGATATTATATCGATTCTATACCCATTATTCTTCGGTTCGGTATTTCCTTCAAAATCGAAATACAACAGTTATAGAATCGACAGAAAACCGATATAGTATCGGTTCTGAAGAACCGGAACCGCAACCGGTATGACTCAAAACCGATATATCTATTAACAGTTATGACTTTATTTCGGTTCTTCATAACTGTTTTAAGAACAGAAACCGATATTAAAATTGTTTTCAACCGTTGGTTAAAATACATGAACACGTTCAGATTATATTAAAAGTATCGTCGAGGTAACTCTAGGAGAGCACTTCGAGGGAAAAAACTTTACAGAATTGATTTTACTTAATTTTATTTAACAAAACTCAGTACACAATTAGACGGAGAGTCGCGTAAGTGTTACTTGTTTCCAAAAAACTGACTACCTTTGCAGCTTTTCCTCCTATATTTAGAGGATCTAGCTTAAAA